GGGCCCCCCCCCCCCCCCCCCCATTCGCAGTGGACTGGCCCACAATGGTTTCTCCCTCTTCCACCCCCTTCCCTCAGCACAATGGTTCCTCCCTCTCCCACCTCGGCGCGGTGGTTCCTCCCCGAGCGCGCCGGTTGGCTGGCAGAACGCCCCCGCCCCTCTCCCTCCCCGCGCTCTGATTGGCTGTGCGGGAGAGGAGCCGGCCAATTCGCTCGCGGCTGTGTCGCTGGGCAGAACAAAACAAAACAAACAGGGCAGCGCGGCCCGGAGCGCGGAGCAGGCGGCGGCGGGACGGACCGACCGACAGACCGACCGACCGACCGCCGCCCACGGTACCGCCTCCCGGGGGGGCCCCTCAGGCTCGTGGGGCAGGGGCCGGCGGGTCGACAGGTCAGGTCCCCCTTGGAAAGGGGCGAGACCTCTGACCCCCGACCTCTGACCTCCACAGGAGGCATCCGGCCGCAAACATAGGCGGGGCGGGCTGGTCCGGTGACGTCAGGCGTGGTACTCCTGTGACGTCAGGGGCGTGCCAGAGGCGAGGGGCTGGGGTTTTTTGGGGTGCCCCAGGGACACAGGAGCTAGCAAAGGACAATGATTTTTCGCAGCCTGGGAAAATGGCGTTTTGTGGGTTTTCTGCCTCGGAGAATCCCTCGGCCTTCGGGTTGCGGTGGCGCTTCGCCGTGTTCTGCCATCTCGTGCGCTGAGGTCTTTCTTTGGTCCGTTGCGTTGTTTTATGGCACGTTAACTGCAGGCTGTCTGGGCGCTCGGGTTTATTTTTTTGGGCTTAAGCACCTGTATTGCGATCAACCTGGTCCTTGACTCGAGGTTGACGAGGTAACGCCCTCAATCATTTAACGGTCACGACTCCCGACTGAACCAAAAATAGCATCTGATTGGCTAAGGAAGCCTTGTGCCTGGTCCTTGGGTTGACCAATGCAGGGGCAGAGTAGGTTGCTTTGACCACGTGTCCGTCAGTCGGGGACGACCCTGACACCAAGGAGATCTGCACTGTTTTCAGCTGGGGTTTGTGGCTGTAGTGCTCAAAACCTCATTTTGCAGCAAAGATGGGGGGGGGTGTAATTTGTATCCAAGGCCGAATTAGCCAAAACTAATTCCAAATCTAAGAGTCCAGAACCACAAGTGGCCCTACTACCGGCAAACATCCTCCGCCTGCACCGGGGGCTTTACATGTTTCTAAAACCTTTGGCAGGCATCCTAACATGCAGGCCCAAGCCCAGAGGCTCAGGGTTCAGATGCCCCTGAGTTTTGCTTGCCCTTGGGAGACTCCCATGTCCATAAACTGGGCATAAAGCCGCTGCACCTCGGCGGGTACCAAACCACGCCAGAAGAGCAGTTCTCCTGCGAAGCGGTTTAGGAAACTGCCTTCTTGGACACGGGTGCATGGTATTTCCCCTGCCAGGTTAAGAAGCCATGACACTTGTTCTGAGCCTTCATGTCTTCCAGTGCTGTAGCATGGGGGGGGGGTTATTTTTCATAACTGAAGTTGATTTGGGCTTCTAAGGAACTTGTCTCTGTGGATACTAGAAGCTGTTCTACGGCTACAAGATAGATGTGGCTATAAATTAATATGGTATCAAGTAGTTTCCTTCTGATATCTTGATGCAGGAGATTTACCCATTGTAACAAGTCCCTGCTTTGAGAACTCTTTTTTCCGGTTGCCCTCAAACAGAAGAAATCAAGTTTGTGTCTTTCCACATGTCCTACATATCAGGTTTCCCTCCTCCCCCTTTGGTTAAATACTGCTATAAATGTTGGGGGAAGATGCATAGTCCCTGTGTCTGTAGTATACTGGGCCTACTTCCCAGGAAAGTAGTATGGCCGTAACCCTGTGAGAATGAAGTATTGATACATGTGGAGAGGAATGATTCAGTATTTTAGCCATGGTACCACTTGAAAGCATGTGTTCATGGCTTAATTAAAAGAATGCCAGTTCAGAGTCATCTGGAAGAGTACATTTTAGTTAAGTTTGTGAATTAAGGCTGATAAAATATAGTCTCAAATACTAGCTCTTTATTTCCTTGGGCAGGTCTCCATATCTCAGTTCCCTACAGTTAGAGAGGACTTACTTTTTATACCGTTTTTCTGTCTTTTGTGAGAGAGACATTGTGGTCTAACAGATAAGTGTCAGGACTGGGGAGACCTTAGTTCTGCCACTGCTCTGCTGAGTAGGTGGTCCTGGGTAAAAGATTTCACCTTTCTGTGCCTCTCTCTTCCCACCTGTAAAATGGAGTAAAGCACTTTGAGCTGCATGAATGAAGGGCAGTATATAAAAGTAAAGTAGGTAGTTTTATGGTCAAATAGATGCAATCTGTCTCAGTGAATATTTACTTTTATTGCCTGGTATAGGATACAATTCTCTAAGTGCTTTTTAACAGCAGCTTAAATGGAGAGAAACCACTGTGTATTTAACAAACAAAACTTTCTTTTTTGTTTTTAAAGGAGAGAACAACTGTGATGGAACATTTTACCAGGAAGAAAAAAACTAATTGCGCAAGCTAGTCAGTATATGTGGATTCCCCTGGATGAGTAACCCACAGAAGAGGACATTCAAAACAAAATAAAAGTGTTTGAGGGCATTGGAGAGCTACTGCATGATTGAGGTATGATTGAAAGAGGAATAAATGATGGATGGGATGGGAATAAAAATATATCTTCATTAAATGAGGTTGTTACCTGTTTGAAATTGGCATGTGACATGAGAAAATTGAAGATTATGCACGCTAACAAATTACTGTAAAAAGGATTTTTATTTATTTATTTATTTATTTATTTATTTATTTTTGCACCATCAACTACTGGTGACTGTTGTTCTAATCAATAGGAGTGTGGTGGGCAACTAAACTGAAGGAAAACCAGAAGGAAGGTAAGAGTAGGGTGATGTCATTTGATGTCACAATCTTGTCACTTAACAATAAGCTGTTTGCAGGGCAGCAGCAGACAGAAAGGGGAAAGGAGAAGAGCCATTGAAGTCTCGTGGGACAGAGACACGTGGAAGTAACTTTCACAAGATTTCACAAATCACTTTGCAGGTAAAAATGTGTGATCACTGCTGGAGCCAATGCACCTTTGTGTACAGCCCACCTGACTCACCTGCAGACAGTATTGCAGGTTGAAATCCCCTTTGGGGAAAAAAGAGATGGATGATACCATCTCTTGCAGAGTTTCAGCATGCAGCAATGTATAGAGCAGCAGCATCTGGGAAGGG